GGAACTTCAGTTTAAGTACTCTGTGAATCTTAGGTCTAACTTTGGCTACAGTTATCTAATCAAATTGGCTGGTCATATGTCTGGTGCATAAAAATGCCCCATTGCTTTTGAATACTATAGGCTCAAAGACTAAAACTTCCTTCCCTCCCCTGCTCCCTTCTTCCCTCCCTCCTTCCCACTCTCCCTCAGTTTCTCCTCCTTTCCTTGTAGGGAAGAAGGCCTAAGGGTCACCGCTGGCAATACTCATCCTGGTCTTGATGATTCAGTGCTTGGGTAAGGAATGTAGTCCTGGGTGGGTGACAATACTGCCATGCAGGCAGTACACAAATGCTACCAGGGCCGTATCCAGTGGTACTTGAGGGTGTTGTGCTGTCGGGGATCAAACTCAGGGCCTGAGCAATAATAGTACAGTGGCTAGGGAAGTTGCCTTTCATGTAGCTGACTCTCATTTGATCCCCATCATCACACTAGGTGTGATCCCTGAGAGCAGAGGCATTAGTCAGCTCTGAGCACCACCACTTGGCCCCTAAACAGACTAAAACCAAAATCAACTCAGTGCCTGTCATAAGAAAAGCACATCTTTCTGCCCCCTGAAATTTAATCTTTAGAAAAAAAAAGTGTTGGTGCCCATGAAGTTATTATATCCATTAAACATACCCAGTCTCTAATACTCTCTGATTCTTTTATCTTTCCTGGTTGTTAAACATTATTGTATAAATCACATATAAAATACTATTCATATATGAAAATTTACATATGGCTCTTTTAAAATTTTTAAGAACCTCTTTTAAGAATGAGGTTCAATTGTAGGTAAAGCCACTATCTTATTATCATTTTAAATAATCCACATATTCACTATACCCCAAAGTAGTAGTATCCGAATTAGTCAATGAAAATAACATTTATGCTGAATTTCTAACAATTATAACTTAACAGCTGGGATAAGTCTTTGAGATTATGATCAGTACTCTAGATAACAGTCTTGAGACCTAGAGAAGTAAAGGGATTTTCTGGGTTAGCTCCAATGTATAGTTGATGGTATTGGAAGAGTTAGAAAGGAAGCAAAGACACACTTTTTTTTTAAGGAAATTTACAATGTAAAAGGAAGAATCTGGATACCACAGAAATACATATAAGATGCAACTGCAGTAGAGAGAATATAAAATAGTGTAATTCATTATAATTAGTCCTGATATATTAGGGACTTGAAACAAAAATGAAAATGTAAAATGAAAAATGAAGAAGTTTACAGTGTGGATAAACTTCATTTTGTGTGCCTTTCCTCACATTTTGCTCATGGTCCTAGATCTGCTTCGTGAAACTACTTATATACTGGGATCACTTAAATGAAGACTAGAAGTAAAGTGGAAATGAGAGATACATAAAGGAGTAGCAATGAAGAGTCCATATTAGCTACCAGATAATTAGCCGAGAATCAAATTAGCATTAAAATAAGTACCATTTAAATTTAATTAGGAAATACTGAGTATTTACTTAAATAATATCCATAATGTAATATAAACCTTTCCAAATAACCCTGAACTTTTCCACTTTCAAGAAAAATAATAAATGATTATCATTTCCCCATAAATATAAATATAGTTCAGGAGCAAATTACAAAGAGAGAATATAAATTAAGTCAATTTTTTCCCCAACATGCTAAAATAAGAAAGACATAAGGATCAAAGGACTGAGCTTATAATCTAAAATATAAGTACTTTATGACTGGGGAAAATAAAACATGTACAAAAGTAAGGTGATAGGCTTTCATAAAAACAAAATGCAAATTTTGAATTTTAGTGCTTCGTTGATGGATGTTCTTCCAGGAAGATATGTGAAAAGCATTATTCATTGAAGGAAACTGGAAGATATAATATGATGGAATAAGGATCACATTCTTTTTGAGGTGATTTATATTTAAATGAGTCCTCCATAATCCTCTAAACTGAAGTGCAAATTGATTATCAAAGTCCTTTGCTGTAAGGGTCGTTTTACATAATAGCAAATTTCACAGAAGTCCCTCAAAGGGAAATATTGATTTAGGCAACATCACAGGATATTTCAGTTCTACCACCAACACTCTAGAGACGTGCTATAGACAGCATTAAGAGAAGTTTCTCAAATATGAACTCTCTATAAAAAAGTGTGGGCGGTGGGGTTGGAGCGATAGCACAGCGGGTAGGGCATTTGCCTTGCATGTGACTGACCGAGGTTCGATTCCCAGCATTCCATATGCCCCCCAAGCAGCGCCAGGAGTAATTTCTGAGTATAGAGCCAGGAATTACCCTAGTGCGTCCCTGGGTATGACCCAAAAGGCAAAAAAAAAAAAGAAAAAAAAAAGATTGTGGGGCAGGGTATCTTTCCTTAGTAGAAAATATGTAGCAGGAATTTTTAATCAGTGATCCATGTCATATTCATATCTGTCACATCTAATCCATATTAAATTTAATAAATGTTTTAAAAGCATATACATGTCTGCTTTTTCCAAATGGCTGTATGAAAGTACTATGACATGTTCATTTGCTTCCATAAGTTTGTGTTACCTGCCACTGTCAAATTTTGTCATTAGTATCATTATTTCATAAAAGTGGGAACAGAGGCCAAATAAGTGGCATATGAGGATTTAAACCAGAGTTTATTTTTCTTTGCTATGCATATTACAATAAAATTAAGGACTGGAGTGATAGCACAGCGGATAGGACGTTTGCTTTGCATGCGGCTGACCCGGGTTCAATTCCCAGCATCCCATATGCCCCCCTCCCCCCCCCCCACCCCCCCACCGAGCACCATCAGGAATATTTCCAGAGTGCATGACCCAGGAGTAAACCTTTTGCATTTCCAGATGTGACCCAAGAAAAGCAAAAATAAATAAATAAATAAATAAATAAATAAATAAATAAATTACTGTCACTGTCCTCCCGTTGTTCATCGGTTTGCTCGAGCGGGCCCAGTTAACATTGTGAGACTTGTTACTGTGTTTGGCATATCAAATACGTCACGGGTACTTGTCACAGGCAGCTTGCCAGACTTTGCTCTGTGGGCGAGATACTCTCGGTAGCTTGCCGGGCTCATCGAGAGGGGCAGAGGAATCGAACTCGGGTTGGCCGTGTGGGCTGCATGCAAGGCAAACACCCTACCCACTGTGCTATTATAAAATAATAATAATAATAATAACAATAATAATAATAATAATAATAATTTTTTGCTAACACACCTAGCTTCATCCCCTCACTCATAGCTTCAGTTTCTCCTTCAGTTCTGTATGTTTTCCACCAGAAGGTAAATGCTGTTCTTCATCCTGGTGACTAAGTTAACAGAAAGGCAGGCTCCCATTGATGTAGTTCAGGGGACCAGCTTCCACTGGTTCTCATCAGTTAGGAAGAAAGCATCACTTCAGTGAAATTCTAGGACCAGTTCTTAGGTGGAACCGAAGCTAGTCTATAGGTTAGGAAAGGCTAGAGTTTAAAACCCATGCCTTTCACACACTTCTGTGACTATTAAAAGATCACTTTATGCCCTGGAGTCTGTTTTCTCAGCTCTGAAATTAGGGAGTGGGATATGATCACAGATTTCAAAACTGTATTATCTATTTTGTGAAACGTGAAACGCCTTTGGCAACTTAAGTCTGGAGTTGAATCTCGATATAAAGGTAGCATTGTTTGGAGTCTTCAGTTTATGTACCTTCCAGGTGTCTGAAACTTACTCTTTTTTCCAGACCTCAAGGAATCTAAGGTCTTGGTAAAAGCAAGTTTAGAACAAGTTTTAGTTCTATTTTGATTTTTGTTTTTGGACCATACCTGGCTATGCTTAGGATTTACTTCTGGTTCTGTGCTCAAGGATTACTCCTAGCAGGATTGAGGGGACCATATGGGGTACTGGGGATCAAACTTGGGTCAGCTATGTGCAAGGCAAGCACCTTGCCCATTCATTGTTCTGTCTCTCTGGCCCCAGAAAGCAATTTTTAAACTATGCTTTAGATCATCTGTTTATTCTAATTCTCAAAGTTTTATGATTTAAAAAATACAAGTGACCATATAAAAAGGCACTAGCACTGTAACTACAACTAAGGACAGAGCTGATCACACAAAGGGGAAAGAATATTAAATTGGAAAGCAGGATGTCATGTGATGGGATGTGGTCATGAGTTACTAGGGTGTACACTGTTGATCCTGTATCTGGGTATGGGAGATTTTTAAAATTTTTAAATTTTTTAAAATTTTTATTAGTGAAACACCAGTTGTAGATTTACAAATTTTTGTGCTTGGGTTTCGATTATACAATGATCAAATACCCATCCCTCCACCAGTGCCCATTTCCCACCACCACGGATCCCAGTATCCCTCCCACCCCCATCCTCTCCATCCCACCCTGCCTCTGTGGCAGGGCATTCCCTTTTGTTCTCTCTCTCTCTCTCTCTCTCTCTCTCTCTTTCTCTCTCTCTCTCTCTCTCTGTCTCTCTCTCTCTCTCTCTCTCCTTTTGGGTGTTGTGGTCTGAAAAAGAGGCATTGAGTGGCAATCATGTTCAGTCCATAGTCTACTTTCAACATACATCTCCCCTCCTGGGAGCATCCTGGGTATGGGAGATTTTTAGGGTTACATCATGCAGGAGTTGGGCTTCATAAATTGTGATGTTTTTGAAATCTATTAGCTCTTCTACAATTAACTTAATGAAATCTAAAGATGATTTTAGCCCATCTGTGTTATTCCATTAATTGATTTTATTTCCTTGAGCAATTATCAATATTGAGATAAAAACTTTTATGGGTAACTATTATTTCCATCAAAATAATTCTCTTTCAAAAGATAAATTAACAACATATTGTTTCATGAGCTCCAAAATAATCCTCTGTCTGAAATTGTTGGCCAAGGACTATTACCCAGTATGTGTTAAATTCTATTAAACTCAGTCAATGGCCCAAGGTCCTCTGCTGTCTCCATGATTGACAGTGTTCACTGGTTTAATTCCGACATGTCAGCAATCAGAGATCCTTTTTACTTACCTGCTTCTGCCTTCTGCTGCTTCTCAATCTTTTCCAGGCGTCCTAGCAAGGAGTCAATTTTCGTTTTGATCTGGGTTAATTCTTTCTTGATTGTCTGTAACTCATCTGATTTCACTGGAAAGGAGAAAAAGGAAAAGGAAACAGTAGATTCAAATTCACGACTCACTTAGAACAGAACTCAGACACCTCGAGTGTTCTCAAGATTGTGTCAAATCAAAACAAACTTTTCAGTTGATCTGTTTCTCATTTCAGTAATTCCGGAATACTGGATAATTTTTTAAACCTTGTAGCATTATAAGCTGTGGTTCTGAGTGATATGAACATTTGATACTAAATCTTTTCACTGATGACTATATAAAAGGATAGAAGACTTTTTATAAAAGAGATTTATTTTATAAATTAGTTAAATGAGACTGACTTCAGTTTTGAGGAAGCAGGAAAGTAAATCTGCACTATAAGACGGATTTAGATTGTGAAATGATTAACTCATGACAGGATGTTGGTGCTGCTTTGCAGAATATATTGTAATATATATTTTAGCAGTCAATGATATTTTTAATCCTGTTCCTTGGTGATTGATTGAAAGTTGCATATAACATTTGTCCTCTAAAGAAATATCTTGGAAACTAGGGAAATGTCTCTAACTTACTGAACTTTTGCTATTTCACCTATTTTGGTTCCATTATGCATTGGTTTCTGCAAGCTCTGGAGATGAAGGCAAAGGAAATTCAATGTAGTATCTGCTATTTCTTTTTTTTGCAATAGTCTTTCCCATTGCAGTGTTTTATGTTTTCTTGGTTTTTGTTTTCGCTTTCTGGGGGGTCACACCCAGTGATGCTCAGGGATTACTCTTGGCTCTGTACTCAGGAATTACTCCTGGCGGTGCTTGGGGGACCATATGGGGTGCTGGATATCAAAACCTGGTTGGCTGTGTGCAAGGCAAATGTCCTCCCCACTGGACTATCACTCTGGCCCCACTGTTTTATGATTAGTTTGATCTTGTGGGAATGGAAGAAAGGAGCGCCAGGGAAAATAATTAATTTAAATGATCATTTAAAATATTGCCCACTGAAAAAGTATCCAGTCAAGATAGATAATGGAATGGCTTGGGGGAGGGTGGTGGTGGCAGGTTATAGAAGACAATACAATCCCCTCACCATGTCCCCATGGACAGCAGAACAGCAGATGTTTACACTCATGCACACATGGCCACGGCTGCAGAATAAGTACAGCCAAGGAGGCTGGTTGCCACAGGGCTACAGTCCTAGAGAGGCCCAGCAACAGTTTATAGAGAAACAATCCCAGTGAGGGGACACTGGTAACAGGGATCCAGATACAGATTTCTGACCTGAAAGAAGTACAATGAACAGAAAATGGGGTAGGGACAAGATGAAGCCACTGTCAACCAACGGACGTAGATGGCGAGGGATAGGACCAGAATGTCATAATCTGATTCTCCTCCCCTCCCCCCCGCCCACACACGTAGAAGTGCTCAGGGCTTATTCCTGGTTTTGCACTCAGGGGCTCACTTCTCACAGGGCGTTGGGGTGCATGTGGGGTGCCTAAAATCGAACTTGGGTCTGAGGTATGCAACTAAAGCACCTTATGTGTGGTAGGTATTCTCATCTCTCCAGCCACCTACGACAGCAGAATCTGGACCAAGCATCAAGTGATATTATAATACACGAGGAGAGGCCTGGGCAGTGGCAGGGAACAGGACCCATCTTCTTCAACTGTACAATAAACTTTCATCTCTTAAGCACCTGAGTTTTCTACGCAAATCCTTCATACAATGCTCAAGAACCCACAAAACCAGCAAGAAATGCACTTCTGTGGCAACAATTTTAAATAAAAGAAATTGTGGATAAAAGTGGATCAAAAGGGAAGTACCATGCTAAGTGAAATGAATCAGAGAGAGGGGGACAGACATAGAACGATGGCACTCATTTGTGGAATATAGAGTAACAGAATGGGATACTAACACCCAAGTATAGTAGAGATAAGGGCCAGGAGGATCACTTCACAGCTTGGAAGCTGTTCTCACATGCTGGGGGAAAAGGCAGCTGGTATAGGGAAGGGGCCAGCTTGGAGGGCTTGCTGGGAATGGGAGATGCGTGCTGAAGAAAAGCAGACTATAGACCAAACATGATGGCCACTTGGTACCTGTATTGCAAACCATAACAACCAAAAAAAGAGAATTAAAGGGAATGTGCCTGCCACAGAGGCAGGGGCATGGATGGGGTAGAGGTAGCAGGAGGGTTACTAGGAACATTGGTGGTAGAGAATGAGCACTGGTGGAAGGATGGGAAGCACTGTAGCACTGTCCTCCCATTGTTCATTGATTTGCTCGAGCGGGCCCAGTAACGTCTCCACTGTGAGACTTGTTGTTACTGTGTTTGGCATATAGAATACGTCATGGGGAGCTTGCCAGGCTTTACTGTGCGGGTGAGATGCTCTCGGTAGCTTGCCAGGCTCTCCGAGAGGGATGGAGGAATTGAACTCCAGTCAACAGGGCCAGCCATGTGCAAGGCAAACGTTCTACCACTGTGCTGTCGCTCTAGGGATGGGTACTTGATCATTTTATGACTGAAATGTAATCACAAAAGTTTGTAAGTCTGTAACTGTATCTCATGGTGATTGATTAAAAAAAATCTTTGTATACAAAGAAAATGTGGATTATGATACAATTGACTACTTTTCCTTTTGCTTTTCCTTTTCCTTTCTGATATAGCCACCTTTCCCTCAGTATAATAATTATTTTACTTAGAAAGGCCCAGTAGCATTAGGAAGATGGCTCAGCACCTGCTGTCTGTGCTCAGGGTCCTGGGCTCAATCTCTGCACTGCATTCCCCTTCCCCCACACCCCCCAGCACTTTCGGAAGATGAGTACAGAACTGGAAGTGTCCTGACAGGTGGAGCACCAAAATGCAGACACAAACAAACAGAAAGACAGGGCTTAAGGACGGGTCAATCTCATATTCAGTTATACGAATTTAGGTGTTTCCCCAGGTATGCCCAGCAGGAGGGGGTGCAGCCTGTGCCAGGGAATGACCAGTGGACGGTCTCTTACAAGGCATGCGGTCCAACCCCTTCCAGTATCTTCCTGGCCCTACAACAATTGCGTATTTAAGGAATAATACTCCAAAAGAACTATGACAATGCTTACAGAAAACGCACTGTGTGGCTCTTATTTTCTCATTTGTCTAAGAACTACTGAAAACTTAATCATGAGCCCTGAATAGCCAGCAATTGCAGATTTTAAAGTTTTTGTTTCAGAATTGATACACCTGCCTATGAGCTTTCATTTCATAGGTTTTTGGTCTCGGTAGTGCTGCATTTGAAGATCTGAGCACAGACCTTAATTTCAGTCCATAATTCTTGTCTGTCACTTTTCTTTTCAGGCTGGGTATAATGATCTCAGCTTGAATATTCCCTCAGATGTTTCATGTTTTGATTTATTCTTTGGAAGTTTTGAAAATAAAAAATAGAAACTAAAGGCAATCTATGCTTTCTCGAAACAGTTGTTTGTCAACTAAGATATACAATATTATAAAAATATAAATTATGTATCAATACACATTAGTTGCTCAAAGGAAGAAGGGTTTTCTTTCCCCACTATAAATGAGAAAACATTTTCCTTTTTAAAAATTATAACTTACAAAGAAGGAAAAGGAGATTTTATTTATGATGCAAAGTAGTTTGCAAAATAAACTGTAAGAATTAGGGATCCTGTGGAGTATTCCTATTGTGAAGCTTCAAACTGAAAGAAGAACATTTTTAAATAGAGAATCACTCCTTGAGTCAATTATTTCAAAGACATCAAAGCCCCATTGTTCAATTGCAGCTAAATTTGAAAAGCATCATCTGTCACAATTGCAAATTGATTCTGCTTTGAAGAATGATTTTCATTTCTTTTGACGGAAGCATGTCATGTAATTTTACTTAAACCTATCAAATTTAATAGACAATATTTTCTCTTATAAGATTAGATTTTAAATGCATGAGAACTAGGACTGTGAGTGGAAACTAAAAGAATGACTTCTTAGTGAGAGTGGAACTTTCCCCAGCCTGACCGCAGCTGACAAGATTTAACATATTTGATCTCCTCAAAACTTGTAAAGGAATAAACCAGTACCCTATTTTATAGCAATGACACTTTAAATCAAATGGAAATCAATCTAGATTTACCAAGTAGAAACTTCGATGTGACCAGGGACCCAAAGTTTCCTTTATGTCTAGATGGATGAATAGCATGATAGAAACACCTTTAAAAATCAGGGCTAGATCATTTATACATTTTGTTTCTAATCTTGAATGTTGTTAATCTTAGAGTCAACATGGATGGAATTTGGGCAGGTTCTGCTCTTCCTGGACCATTATCAGGAAATATTGAAGTGTGTAGCCCTGTACAAGCTCTTGTGTTGAAGTGGCTAATAGAGAAAGCTCACCAGAGTCGTGTAAAGCTAGGCTTCTAAACGGTCCAGATTGCTTCCTATCCTTGATGCACTTCAATGTTGTCCTCGGAAGGAGGATTATCACTTTCCTGGTATAGTTGTCTATTCTACTTGTCCCAGGAAGATTCAGTAGCTATGGGTAGGACACAGTTATGTGCCATGTGCTTGATTTCCTGTTGGAATTGCTGATATTAATGAGATATATCTAGACAGTATCTGATGTGTTTCTTTCTCTACTTCTTTTCTGCTATTTTAATACTTATTTTGGTTTTTTTTTTGGCTTCTGGTAACATCTTTTCTCTGTACCGTGTATTATAGTAAATCCCAGTAAGGTTTTATTTTATTAAAATAGATGTATATTTTACAACTAAACTTAGAATTGTAAAAAGTCTATAACTTTGAATACTGATTGTTCTCTAAGAAATAAAAGTTAGGTCAGAATTAATGAGTTTTTTGTTACTTATAACACAGAGGTAGGGCATTTGCCTTGCATGCAGCCAGCCCTGCTGAGCTGGGTTTGATTCCTTCATCCCTCTTGGAGAGCCCAGCAAGCTACCGAGAGTATCTCACCCGCGTGGCAAAACCTGGCAAGCTCCCCATGACATATTCAATATACCAAACACAGTAACAACAAGTCTCAAAATGGAGACTTGCTAGGCC